CTCCCTCATAGGGCCCACCTTCTTAAAAATCACCTGGCAACAACCTCTGTCAACCATCGAAGAAGACACTGAATGACCTGGACACTCTTCAACCTACAACTGTTCCTGATCCAACTACTACAAGACCTCTGGACCAGCACCCCGACAGGAACCTCCTTCAAAAACCTGACCACTGGTATCTCAACTGTGGCTTCAGGGAACCTTCTACAACCTGACACCAGATGAAACTGATTTCTTTACTTTCATTCTCTACATCATTCTTCATCCTAATGAACACTGTTCCTCCTCAGATTCAAGCAACCACCAACTTGGGGCCTTCCGCCCCTCACCCTGACTGGCCTCTCCCCGTCTCTCTAACCATAACTTCACTCTTAATCTTAGTCCTTGCTATAGGCCTAGTAACTGTCTCCCCTCAGGACTGGCCACCTATCCTTCGTCTTTCTGTGGGTATCGCCTACATTGCTAGCTGTGTTCTACTCCTAGGGCACTATTTCCTCTGCACTGCCTAGCTAACCGCCCCATGACTCCCCTGTTCCTTATCCTTGCTGCACTCCCCAGCCTTCTGGCTACTCCTTGCCCCTGCTCAGACATTTATTTTTATGTTCATTCCTCATGTTATAATACAACTCCAAGACCATGCACCATGAACCTCAGGGGCTGGAAGTTCAAACCCCTACTCACTGTTAAAGTACAAAAGAGAGGGAGTTTTGTGAGCACCTTCTGTAAGCCAAATGGAAGAAACACATGTTTCCACCCCATTATCCAATGGGGGGGTGGGGTGGTACTCAGACAGCAGGGGGTACTAGATCAATATCGGGAAAAAAAAACAAGAACAAGTTATAAAGAACATAATTTCTCGGTTACAGGCAACCCCTGAGCTTTATAAACACCTAGACCTCCTTTCTCAATTTCAGCCTCTCCTAGAACCTCCCTCTGGCAACCAACACCTTACCCGCCTTCTCAACTCTTCCTTCCAATGCTTCCAGTGCACACAGCAAGCATCCCAGTGTTGGATATGCATGTCACTGTCTCCCTCACCACACAGAGCCATTCCCTTACCCTCAACCTGGCTGTCACAGGGCAACTATACTTCCCCTTCCCAACAGAAAACTACACAACTCATGGGCCAGTCTCTGACAATGTCCCATTCTCAGCCTCTTCAAACCTAACCTGCATTAACTACTTTAGTCCCAACTACACTGGTCTTACAAACTCCACTCCCTCCTTCTGTTCCGCTTGGGTTCTCTGGAACAGCACAAATAATTTCACCAACCCAGGAATCTTCATTTTCTGAGGGACCTATGCATATTCATGCCTCCCCTTAGGCCCCCCTGGACCTTGCATCTTGGTCTTCCTGACCCCAGGTCTAACATTCCCCAAAGAAGAAGAGGTAGAACCAATAGCCTACCCCCAAGGGGAACTTTCCCACAGAAAAAGATGAGCTGTCATAGGCACCCTCCTGATTGGGACTGGCACAGCAGCAGCCCTAGACCCCGGGATTGCGGGCATCTCGACCTTGGCCCATTTTTACTACAAGCTGTCCCAAGAACTTAATGAGGATATGGAGTAGATAGTGGAGTCCTTTGTTTCAGTCCAAAGACAAATTAACTCATTAGCTTCTGTGGCCCTACAAAATAGGTAAGTCCTGGACCTTCTCACCTCAAAAAACGGAGGGACCTGCCTTTTCCTAGGAGAGGACTGCTGCTATTTTGTTAATGAAACAGGCATAGTCCAGGGCCGAGTCAAAGAACTTAGAGACAAAATTGACCACGTTACACTCCCCAAAACCTGTTCCAACAGGCCTTCCTTTTGTTGCTCCCTTTTTTGGGACCATTGGTACTTATCATTTTATTCCTCTTATTTGGCACGGTCTCTTCAATCTCTTTCAAAGGCTTCTCCAAGAACGGATTTGGGGCATCTCTCAAGACCAAGTCAAGACTCTTCTTTTGCTTGAGACCCTGACGGCTAGAATAGAAAATCAACACTACGGGCCTTAGACTTCCCTCCTCCCAGACCACAAACCCCTGACCCTCATTTATCAGCTCGAAGAAACCCTGAACATTAATGTTGCCCACATCTCCTTCTGCTTTTATATATATTCCTTAGGGTCTAAAATGAGGGAAGGTTACATGGCTCAAAATAGCCTGGAGTTAAAACTCCCCTCCAGGTCCTCCCCACCATTCTATGCAAAACAGAGAACTCTCTCACCTGAAGAAAAAAGACTTGCCCCAGCCGTTTGAGAGACAACTACTCCGAACAACCTTAGGGAAAAACAGGTCCCCTTAAGACAGTAGATTTCCACATCTATGCCTATATATACTCACTCTTTTCTTGGGTTAGTGCAGCAGCTCACTACTCTGCTGCCCCTTCTCGCCTCATTAAAGGTGATCTGTTCTTGTAAAGTGCTGGCCTCGATCTTTTTCTGAACCTCGCCTTCTCTAACTCCCTTACCCTACATCTATGACTTTATTTTATTTTATTTTTTCCAGTTCTTCCTACCTGCGAGATCATACAGTGCTTTTCTTTCCTGTCTAACATATTTCATTACCCTAATGCCCTGGCCTATAAATGTATTGTAAAAGCAGGATTTCCTTCTCTTTTATAGCTGAAGGATAATCACGTGTATGCACACACCACAGTTTCTTTATTCATTCATTCATCATTGGATATGGATGTTGTTTCCATGTCTTTGCTACTGTACATAACACTTCCAAGAACATGCAGTGCATATATCTTTTCAAATTGCTGTTTTCATTTTCTTTAAAGGCCCAGAAGTGAAAGTGCTTGCGGTTCTATTTCAGTTTTGAGGAACCTGCAGAGCGTTCCCATAGTGGCTGCACCAATTCAATTCCTACCAGCAGTGCCCAAGCATCCCTTTACCCCACGTCCTCACCAACACGCTTGTTTCTTGTTCTTTGACCGTCCCAGCTTGGCCTTTGCTAGACGCCGGCTGCTGTGAGGTGTGCTGCACGGCCCTCGGATCCTGGCCTTCTCCAGCGCCTGCTTGTCCAGCAATGTTCCCGCAGCAGCCGAGGAGCGAGGGGGAGAGCCCGTCCCCGCTTGTTCACCTGGACCCTGGGCAGGGCCGGGCCTGGGTTCTGTGGAGCCTGACATTGACTCAAGCGTTCAGATCCCTCCTTCGGCAAAACAATGGTGTCACTGAACACAGTACAGACATGGCCCCCAAATACAAAATGTGACCCCCAGGTCTGGTGTGGCCCTGAAGTGTTTCCAGGGCCTGAGAACAAAGAGCAAATGTGTGAACACAGAAGCGGCCATGTCTGTTATCAGTCAGAGAATTCCAACAATCCATGAATCTGTGAGCCAGGAACTGTGGATGAAGGCCGAAAATATAATATATATTTCCTAAAAGTCTCATTATCACAGGCACATCACATCCAAGTTTCCTTCGAAATGAGAAACCTATGTAATCAATCACAAAACATAAAATGCTGAAAACCTAAAGATAAGACATTCATTGCAGACTATTTTTCTTTCTTCCTTTTTCTTTTTGAACCATGAACCTAGGCTGAAAACCCTAGGACCTAGGTCTTAGTTCCCAGACCAGGGATTGAGCCTGAGCCAGAGGCAGTGAGAGTGAAGAAGTCCTAAGCACTGGGCCACCATACCATTTTTCTCAGGAGTCAGGCACCCGTATCACACCTGCATAACACCTGTTACACATACTTATGACCTGATCCACTTTGATTGCCATTTTTTAGGGGAATTGTCATGTATATTAATTAACATGAGTGTTATACTAATAAAGTGTTAGTCAGCCCTGTCTGACTTTGAGATCCCATAGACTGTAGTGTGTAAGAGTCTTCTGTCCATGGAATTCCCCAAGCAAGAATACTGGAGTGCATTGCCATTCCCTTCTCCAGGGGATTTCCCTGACCCAGGGATCGAACCCTGGTCTCCTGCACTGAGGGCAGATTCTTTACCATCTGAGCTAGCAGGGAAGCTCATTATATGAAGAAATACTATTAATTATATTATATCTAAAAGAGAGTAGAAAGAAGATACAGTATTTCCACTGGCACGATTGATTGATGGACATTTCTTTCTGTTTCTGTAGTTTAAGAAAGTAAACAATACATTAACATTTCTGTCTAACTATAAAAGACACTTCCCATCACTCCCACAGCTTGTTTCTGAAAGTGTCTAAACGTTTACGCTCATAGTCAAACTTGCGAAACTTAAAGAATTTTTTCCCGAAAGGGCAGTAAGTTCACAGGTTGTTTCCACACATGACTTAAGCCTTCATGTGGCTTTGAAAAGAAGGCCATCCAGAGTGAGGGGTCGTGAACGGTGTTTCTGTGTGAGGTCTAGACTTCAGGGTCCCAGCTGAATGGGGCAAAATTCTTCCTTTACCACCCCATTTGGCGTGGGCCTGTGTCCCGGTCGGCTGGTCCCACAGACCCTCAGATCCATGAAGATCCTCAGCCCGTGTGCCCTGTTCTGAAACCCCTCTGGGCAAAGGAGCTTTTCACACTCAGCTTTCCTTCCTGGGTTCCACCCTCCACCGTGTGTGACTCTTCCAGCCCAAGTATGAACGGTTGTGAGAAATTTTTCAATATTCTTTTCCAGAAAGTCCAGCGTTTCTCTGTTGCAGGATCAGTCCCACCCGAGGACCAGGGCTGGACCCCGTTTGTCTTTCCTGGTTGCGCCGGCCGCTGGGCGGTCCCACCGTGGCCCGAGCATCACTGGACGGGTGGGCATGTCAGAGCCACGTGCGGTGAAGCCTCTCGGCCTCTGGGGGCCTCAGGATCTCCCCCTGCGGGAGGGGTATGGGGTGTGGGGTGGGACCTCCTGCTTTCCCAGGGCCGCCCCTCCTCCACGGCCTGGGGCGTCCAAGTTCCCCTTCTGTGCCTGCCCTCGGCTCTGTCTCCGTCACCCTCTGGCTTCCTGTTGGGGCTTCCTCGTTCCCTCCCCACATTCGGGGCGCTTCCCTCCCCAGCAGAGGGACCTGAAGCGGCTCTGTGCTGGCGGATGCCGACATGGTGCCCCTGCTGCTGCTGCCCCTGCTGTGGGGGGGTGAGTGGGGGAGGGGTGGGGGAGGAGGTCACGGCTGGGGGAGGGGGGCACGCGTCGCGGGGGGAGGGGGGGGGTTGAGCTTCCGCTGAGCCTCTGTGTCCCCAGGGTCCCTGCAGGAGCTTCCAGGGTTCGAGCTCCGAGTGCAGGAATCCGTGACGGTGCAGGCGTGCATGGACGTCCACGTGTCCTGCTTCTTCTCCCACCCCTGGAGTTCGAGGTATTGGTCTGCTGAGCCCTCCATCTACTGGTTCCGGGAAGGAGACAAGCCACACAATGATGCTGTGGCCACAAACGACGGAAATAAACCAGTGAAGCCAGAGACGCGGGGCCGATTCCGCCTCGTCGGTGACCCCAGGCGCAAGGACTGCTCCCTGAGCATCAAAGAGGCCAGGCTGAGCGACTCAGGAGCCTACTACTTGCGAGTGGAGAGAGAACCTCATGAGAAATATAGTTACCTTGATAAGAAGCTGAATTTGCAGGTGACAGGTATGACAGGGGGCCCAGGAGAGGACCCTGGCACGTGGAGGCGCCTGTGTTAGAACAGGAACAGTGTATAGGAGCCCTTGCTGCTCCAGGTTCTGGGGTTTGAGGGTTCAGGAGAGACCCAGGACCGGGGCTGAGCTGTGGCCGTGAGGCACTGGTCCCTCTGAGGGTCGCCCTCTGGGTGCCCATACCCCTGCGTCCATGCATCTGCCTCTGTCTCCCCCTAGCCCCAACAGAGAAACCCGACATCCAGTTTGTGGAGCCTCTGGAGTCCGGCCGCCCCACACAGCTGACTTGCAGCCTGTCAGTAGCCTGTGCTGGGAGACACCCTTTCCTGTTCTCCTGGGCGGGGGACGCCCTTGACGAGATGGACCCAGGGACCCTCCACTCCTCGGAGCTCACCCTCACCCCCAGGCCCCAGGACCACGGCTCCAACCTCACCTGTCGGGTGACACTCCAGGAAGCACAGGTGACCCTGGAGACAACCGTGCGGCTCAACGTCTCCTGTGAGTGTGGAGGGCCGGCGGGGTCCCGGGGGGCAGTGTGTGTGTGTGTGTGTGTGTGTGCAGAGGGAAGGCCAGCCTGCTCTTCCATGGGTCTGAGCCCTGGGAGCTGAGGTGGGGAGGGCCGTGAAGGACACCACCCCCTTCCTGGTTTCCCTCCTGGGTGCTGGTCAGTGTGCACCCCACTCCTCCCTCTGCAGCGAGCCCGTGTCTTTCTGCCCCAGATGCTCCGAGGAACGTCCGCATCAGCCTCTCCTTCAGAAACGTCACAGGTAGGACAGGACTTCTCCCCTCCAGGCCTGGGTCCTGCCCCTGGGACCGCCTCCAAGGGGCAGCGGGGTGAGCTTGAGTGTGATCAGATGTGTGAAGAGCAAGGAGACAACCACCACCCCGCCCCACCTCCCATGCACTAGACCACACACTCATGCAATACACACAGACTCACACACACAGACACACACACATACAGTACATGCATGTGAACATACACTGAGACACACACAGAAACGCCCATACACACAGGCACACACACATACAGTACATACACATGAACATACACTGAGACACGCACAGAAACGCCCATACACACAGGCACATACACATCACACATTCACACATATACACAGAGATATACCCACAGCTCAGGCACCCATCACGCACACATAGACACATGGACATACACATGTGTACTCATGCACACATACACACAGGCACACACACATACACCCCACACATTTACACACTCACACACCCTGTTCAAAGCCCATTTCCCTTCACCATGGTTTTATTATGTGGTTTTCTTCCACAAAAGCCTCCTTAGTCCCATCTCCTGTTGCCTTCACTGAATCAACTTCTCAAGCCTTGAGGCTGTGGGTTTTCTTTCCACCAAACAGCCCAGGCCTGTCCCATTGAGACACCAAGCCTCCCATGAAGATAGAAGGCCCAGACACGTTGCGTCAGCCTCCTTACGGTGGGAAGGTCCAGCCCTGGGACCACAGGGAACCCAGCTGGCTGGATGGGGAGAAGAGAGTGAGGCCAGGAGATCCTGGGAAGGAGGGAGGAGGAGACCTCAGCCTCCCCTAGCTCTCCCGCTGCGCTTTCCCCAAAGCCCTGAAGATTCTGCAGGCCACCTCGTCCCTTCTCGTCTCAGAGAGCCAGCCGATGCAGCTGCTGTGTGTCGCTGACAGCAACCCCCCTGCACAGCTGAGCTGGTTCCAGGGGTCCCCAGCCCTGGAGGCCACCCCCATCTCCAGCACAGGGGTCTTGGAGATACCCCGCATGGGGGTCGGGGATGGAGGAGAAGTCACCTGCCGAGCTCAGCACCCGCTGGGCTCCCAGCAAGTTTCCTTCAGCCTCTCTGTGCAGAGTGAGTTGCAGGACAGGTGCTGGGGGCGGGCAGCCGGGGCAGGTGTGTGCCTTTGGGAGGGCTGGGTCTGGGGACTGAGCTTCACCCCCTCTCCCTTCGCCAGAAGGCCCCCCTTCCTGCAGCTGTGAGACTGAGGAGCCGCAGGGCTCCTGGCCCCTGGTCGTCACCCTGATCAGAGGGGCCCTCATGGGGGCTGGCTTCCTCCTCACCTATGGCCTCACCTGGACCTACTACACCAGGTGAGCTCACCTGTCCCCCTGCGGGGAAGTCCTGGGAACGGCTCGGAGTTGTCGGCTGGGCTGGGCAGTCCTGTCCTGCCTGGAGCTAAAGTGTGTGACTCTCCAGGGACTTCGGTGTCGATTCAGTGGTTGAGCCTATGAGTTTCCACTGCAGGGGGCAGGGGCTCGATCCCGGGTTGGGGAACTAAGATCCCACATGCCATGAGGCAGAGCCCAGAATGAGTGAAATGGGTCTGACTCTCTGACCTGAGACTGTGTTGACTCTGCAGGTGTGCTGGCCACTCGGGAGCTGGGCTGAGCGGTGTGGCTGAGCCTCGCTCCCTGTTATGAGGAGATTCACCTGAGGATGCAGAGCCCAGAGGACAGATGTGGGGACATCACTGTCTGCTTCTCCCTGGAAACTCTTGACTCCAAATCTGTCTCATTTCCACCCAGGGGTTTTAAGCTTTTAATTTGTAGATGTGACTGTGTGATGACACAGAGTAAATCCCATTGAAAAGAGACTTTATTACATTCATTTACCAAGAATGCATGGTCCCTCAGTCAGGGCAGGGCCCAGGGGGAAGCACGAGGTTGTGCTCAAGAGGCAGGAGCAGGCGTGGGGAAGCCTTTCTTTGAGTTTCCAAGGGAGAGACAAGGCTTATTGTTGTTGTTCAGGTACTCAGTCATGTCTGACTCTTTGCAGCACAGCATGCCAGGCTTCCATGTCCTTCATCATCTCTCAGAGCTTGCTCAAACTCTTTTTCATTGAGTTGGTGATGCCATCCAACCATGTCGTCCCCTTTTCCTTCTGCCTTCAATCTGTCCCATCATCAGGGCCTTTTCTATTGAGTTGGCTCTGGGCATTAGGTGGCCAAAGTATTGGAGTTTCAGCTTCAGCATCAGTCCTTCCAATGAATATTCAGGATTGATTTCCTTTAGGATGGACTGGTTGGATCTCCTTGCAGTCTAAGGGACTCTCAAGAATCTTCTCCAACACCACAGTTCAAAAGCATCAATTCTTTGGCACTCAGCTTTCTTTATAGTCAATCTCTCACATCCATACACGACTATTGGAAAAACCATAGCTTTGACTATGCAGACCTTTATCAGCAAAGTAATGTCTCTGCTTTTGAATATGCTGTCTAGCTTTGGAAGGAAATATTTAATTTTAATTTAATTCATCATTTAATTTCATGGTTGCAGTCACCATCTGCAGTGACTTTGGAGTCCCACCCCCCAAATAAAGTCTTCACTATTTCCTTTGTTTCCTCATCTATTTGCCATGAAGTGATGGGACTGGATGCCATGATCTTAGTTGTTTGAATGTTGAGTTTTAAGCTAGCTTTCTCACTCACCTCTTTCACCTTCATCTAGAGGCTCTTTAGTTCCTCCTCACATTCTGCCATAAGGGTGCTGTCATCTGCATATCTACGCTATTAATATCTGTCCCAACAATCTTCATTCCAGCTTGTGCTTCATCAAGCCCGGCATTTCACATAATGTACTCTGCATATAAGTTAAATAAGCAGGGTGACAATATACAGCTTTGATATATTCCTTTCCCAATTTGGAACCAGTCTGTTTTTCCATGTCCAGTTCTAACTGTTGCTTCTTGACCTGCAAACAGATTTTATAGGAGGCAGGTAAAGTGGTCTGGTATTTTCATCTCTTTATGAATTTTCCACAGTTTGCTGTGATCCACACAAAGGCTTTAGTGTAGTCAGTGAAGCAGAAGTAGATGTTCTGGAATTCTCTTGCTTTTTCTATGATCCAGTGGATGTTGCCAATTTGATTTCTGGTTCTCTGCGTCTTCTAAATCCAGCTTGAACATCTGGAAGTTCTCAGTTCACATACTGTTGAAACCTAGCTTGGAGAATTTTGAGCATTACTTTGCTAGCGTGTGAAGTAGTGCAATTGTGTGGTAGTTTGAGCATTATTTGGCATTGTGCTTCTTTGGGATTGGAATGAAAACTGACCTTTTCCAGTCCTATGCCTACTGCCGAGTTCTCCACACTTGCTGGCACATTGAGTTGAGCACTTTAACAGTTTTACCCACAGTCAATCCCTCCCATCAGGAAGCTTGCACAAGTCTCTTATCCTCATCCAGCAGAGCGCAGACAGAATGAAAACCACTTACAGAGAACTAACCAAACTGATCACATGGATCACAACCTCGTCTAACTCAGTGAAACTATGAGACATGCATTGTAGGGCCACACAAGACAGACGGGATTTGGTGGAGAGTTCTGACAAAACGTGGTCCTCTGAAGAAGGGAATGGCAAACCAATTCAGTATTCTTACCTTGAGAACCCCATGAACAATATGAAAAGACAAAAAGATAGGACACTGAAAGATGAACTCCCCAGGTCAGTAGGTGCCCAATATGCTGCTGGAGAAGAGGGCAGAAATAACTCCAGAAAGAATGAAGAGATGGAGCCAAAGCAAAAGCAACACCCAGTTATGGATGTATCTGGTGATGGTCCAATGCTGTAAAGAGTAATATTGCATGGGTACCTGGAATGTTAGTTCCATGAATCAAGGTAAATTTGAAATAGTTAAATGGGAGATGGCAAAAGTGAACATCAACATTTTAGAAATCTGTGAACTAAAATGGACTGCAATGGGTGAATTTAATTCAGGTGACCATTACATCTGCTACTGTGGGGAAGAATCCCTTAGAAGAAACGGAGTAGCCATCATAATCAACAAAAGAGTCTGAAATGCAGAACTCAGGTGCAATCTCAAAAATGACAAAATGATGTCATTTTGTTTCCAGGACGAACTATTCAGTATCGCAGTAATCCAAGTAATCCAAGTCTATGCCCTGACAGTAATGCTGAAGAAGCTGAAGTTGAATGGTTCTATGAAGACCTACAAGACCTTCTAGAACTAACACCATAAAAGATGCCTTTTCATCAGACGCCATTCCAGAGGGGACCAGAATGCAAAAGTAGGAAGTCAAGAGATACCTGGAGTAACTTCAAGGCAAGTTTGGCCTTGGAGTACAAAATGAAGCAGGGCAAAGGCTAACAGAGTTTTGCCAAGAGAAGGCACTCATCATAGCAAACACCCTCTTTCAACAACAGAAGAGACCGCTCTACACATGGACATCACCAGATGGTCAATACTGAAATCAGATTGGTTATATTCTTTGCCTCTGAAGATGGAGAAGCTCTATACAGTCAGCAAAAACAAGACCAGGAGCTGAGTGTGGCTCAGATCATGAACTCCTTATTGCCAAATTCAGACTGAAATGGAAGAAAGTAGGGAAAACCACTAGACCACTCAGATATGACCTAAATCAAATCCCTTACGATTATACAGTGGAAGTGACAAAGATTCAAGGGATTAGATTTAATACACAGAGGGCCTGAAGAGCTATGAACGGAGGTTCATAACATTCTACAGGAGGTGG